AAAAAATAGAAAAACATGCAAAATAAGAGCACTTATCATCAATCAGTTCTTAAATTTATGAAACATGGAAAGCATCCATAAAAAATTCCTCCAAAGACATGGAAGAGGGAAGTGCTTTGGAATTTCTAAGATGGAAAAACTGTCCAGCATGATGCATATCATATAAAAGTAACAGAAATTATGCATATCCAAAAGAAAGCAAAAATATCTATTCTGACTGGTAAATGGAAACACTAATTAGTCTATTTATGAAAGATCATCAGAAAACTATGAAGGACTATGTTCCTACATCAAAGCCATTCTGACTGGTAAAGCACTCTGATCAGACTTGAACTAAAAGATATTTGTCAAAGCAAGAGCATTGGCAAATTATATGTAATACCAGATCAGTTTTCATGTGAATGTTATCAATATACCTGTGTGCCAATGAGTTTCCCATCTTGATGGGCCACAAGACCATTTTCAGAAAATACATAATCATAATCGGTGATAACTGCAAAACAAAAAAAAATTACATTGCTAATAGAGAGGGCCAGGCAGATTCAAAGACAGTAAAGTAGAACAAATCAAACTGAGATTTCGACATGAAACAAAAATAATAAGCTTTCAACCAGTTATGGTGTTAGAGGAAGGTATATCTTAGTGCCTGCCTGGATTACTCTATAGTTTCTGCTCTTGAAGTGAATCTTAATTCATTTTCTAGCCACAAGAATTTTGTTTGAGAGTTTTCCTGTTCCACTAGTTACAGCTACCATTTACATAAAAATGTGCAAAACAATCTTCAGTTTCTCAATGGTACAAGCATACACTTAAAAGCCAGATGAAGCAAACCTGTGTTTCCCAGCTGCTCAGATATCTTATTAAGATCAGATCCACCCACAACTCCAACCGTAACAACCTACAATTGCACAAAACATTCAAATTAACCAAAAAAAAGTTGACCCCTTTGAAGATTGATTAGAAACAACACGATCCAAAAAGAGCCCATTGTTCCAATCAATCACTTACCTTCCGTAGTTCATGCATGAACTCCAACATCTCAGGAGTTACCCCCTACCAATTTAAGATTGAATAAGAGAAAAAAGTCAAAGCTTTACTAGCTCAAATTCAAGAGAAAAATTATAGTGCCACACCACTTTATCCAATAAATCCATTCAATAGCTACAAAAATTCTACTTTTATAGATAAGAGAGCAAATCAATACCTTTCTGGGGGCCGTAAGAGTTCCATCGACATCAAACAATGCAATTAAACCAGATTTCCTCGCAGCCATTGAAGGTGCTGTGCATTCCATGGAATCAAAAGAACACCAATTTCAGAACAAAGTATTGGAAATTCTCAGAACTAGAATTCCAAAGAACACATACCAATTCTACCCAAAACACTGAAATTAAGGATGAAAAAAAAGCAGTGTTGGAGTGGCATCCACTCAAAAAAAGAAAGAGACAGAATTTCACAACTCTGAAACCGAAAAAGTAGAGAACTTGAATTGCGGATACCGTAACGTAGAAGAAGAGTGGACTCTGAGATGGACACAGAATTTGAAGCAGATCTTTAATGGCGGAAGCTGCGTGCCGGTTGCCTTCCTTCAGAGTCGGAAAGGTGCCGTTTTAGATCCGGAGTGGCGATTGTTGCGAATTAATCCGGTGTGTCCAAAGCTACCCCAGATCCATTGTAACCGAAATCAAAGTCGTCCCCGTGTTTCCTTTACATTTCTGATCACCTTTGAACCGCCACGATTTTCCACAGTGGGCCTTTCTTCTCGGCTGAATTTCTCTCTTTTTATTATTTAAAGTAGTATTTATTTACTTATTATTATTTATTTTAATATTGCAAATTACAACTATTTTTTCTTTTTAAAAGCATGGTTTTTCATCCATTTTTAATTAAAAATAATATAATTATAATATTACATGATATTATAAATTTATATTAAATAATAAATTGTTATATAATTATTTATTTTTTTACAATTAATTTAATATATTAAATACATTTATTTATTTAATGATTTGTTATTATTATAATCTTACAATTATAGCAAACATTCAATTATAGCATCACTTCATTCCTTTTTCTTTTCTTTCGTAAAATAAATTTTTTTTTGAAAAAACATTTTATAATCTATACTAATTCAAATAGTAAAATATTATCTGTTTGATGAGAATTGAATCTCTTAATATTGGAACTCTTTTTCATCTATAATTCTTGTTTTACTGTTTAGATGAATTCAGATGGTAGAATAAGATTTTCATTTTTTTATATAACTTTTTTTCAAAGGAAAAGTAGTGAGGCATTTGGAGGAACTTTACATTCTAAATTGGTATATTCCCAAAGGAAACAGGGGGAGCAATTTCCTCAGTAAATTTGGAAAGCAACCAAATTTAGTGGACCTCTAGAAAGTGAAGAAAACAAGTGAGGAAGTTGAAAGGAAATTGCCGTTTACTTCTAGTTCTAGGTTCCATTTCCTGTTTTTAGTTCACAAGGAAACTTCTTAGCAATCCTCACAAGTCACTATTCAATTCAAAGCACCCAGGTCCTCCTGCAGTGGATCAAGATTACTGTCTGATTGAGAATTGGAAAATATCACTTTCTTCTTGAGTTTTCTAAAACTCTTTTCTGTTTAGTCCAAGGTCTCGCATTATACAGAAAAATTTCTCACATTGAATTGTTTACATAGTACATGCTATGCATTTTGCAGCTTATTTTCTAACTATAATCCTTTAGATTACAGATAGATGCATCATTATTGAAACAATGGATTACAAAGGACGGTAAGTACTCTTATTTTATGGTAGATGCTAGAAAATGAACAAAATCTAGATGCCATGTAGCTTCTTCACCTTCCTTGGCATAAGATTACTAGATAATTTTACTAAAAACTTGCCACTTCACCTTGCTGGTAAAAGAGGCCAGAAGGACTGCCTTTGGGCAAGAGTGCTAACACAATTGGAGTTACAGCGCCTTGTTCAACAGTCAGGGTACCAGTGTTGCGATTTATATCTGTTTTGACAAAGCCAGGGCAAACAGAATTGATGCAGCAACCTGGGTGCCTTTTGGCCAGAAGCCTTGTGTATGTAATTTGGCCTACTTTTGAGACTGTATAGGCAGGGAGATGAATAGGCCAGCCCTTAATTTCCAATGCACCTTCCTTGAAATCTTTCAGAAACTCAGTCATCATCTCATCCAGTTTCTCTTCTGTGAGACTATCAACATTCCTGAAGGCTTCTTTAAGCTCTTCGCTGGGTATGTACTGAGACAAAATGGGAAGCAACCACTGAGGTTAAATAGAATACTCTACCAAAATAAAGGGAAAGGATATCAAGCATGCCCTCTGTACCTTCAACGTGCCCCTGCCGGATGCAACATTAAAAATCCTTGGTGAGTCAGATAACTAAAGCATGGGAATAAGAGCCTCAGTCATTGTCTTAGCACCAAAGTAGTTTGTTTTCAGGCATTCTTCTGCTAAGTCATAGGTTTGAGTCATAATTCTATTCCAAACTTTAACCGCATCCTCCTGCATCAGTCAGAAGAAACTCAAACTTTCTTAGAGCTAAACATAATCACTGCCTTCCAGAACAAGTAAAAAACCCTGCATCTCTCAAAGTTGCCTCTTAATTTCATATTTACCTCAGTAGCAGAAATACTTGAAGCTTTTAAAGCTTCATCATCTATTACAGCACCTGCTATTCCTGCATTTTTCACCTGGAGAAAGTTTCAACATTATTATGATCAGGAAGAAAAATATGGGAGAAAAGCCACTTCCAAAGAGGAGATTGGGTGATGTATCATGTATGTATACCAATCTATCAAGCCTTCCAAACTTGGTTTTGACAAAATCTGCAAGAGCTGCGATGCTAGCAGGGTCTGTAACATCGAGCTGGTGGAAATTTACATGATTAGATAGACCAGACTGTTTGAGCTTTTCAACAGCCTCAAGACCCCTCTTCTCATCTCTAGCAGTTAACACGACCATGATCCCTTTACAGGCTAATTGCCCACATATTTCCAGTCCAATCCCTTCATTTGCTCCAGTAACAATTGCATACCTTCAAAAGAAATCAAAAGTGAGAATCATAACATGATTTTAAACTCTAATGCAGTTAGGGGTGTAGAAAGAAAAAGGAAAATCACCATGAAAGAACTGTTTGTTACCTCTGTGTGAACTGTGCCATGATGAGATGGAATTGCTGAAAGAGAAACTCTGGTCTCGGTTTCATAGTCGCATTCAGGATGTTTTGTGAAATTCATCTTCTGTTTCTCTGCTACCTCCTATGAACTTTGGACTGCATTTCCACGGTAATATTCAGAAACTGCAACATGGTGTAGTTTGTTCTTTAGCTTGGGACGCCTTGTTCTCTGTTTTTACCAGTAGGAGATACTAAATATCTTATTTTCTATTCTTTCTTGCATCAATATTAACTACATACTAAAAATGAAACCTCATGGAATTCTTCAAATTCAAACTGTCATTTGCTTTCATTGATTTTAACAAAATAAAAATCTAACATAAGCCCAAGGCGTCTTTACATGAAATGAAAGTACATAGAAATCAACAAACTTTGTAGATTTATCTCCATCTATTTTTATTTCATTCAAAAACAGGAAACTTCTTTCCTGTTAAACAAAAGGCCTGAAGGCCCGCCAATTG